AGAGAGAGAGAGAGAGAGAGAGAGAGAGAGAGAGAGAGAGAGAGAGAGAGAGAGAGAGAGAGAGCATTTCTGAGGAGTGGTTCCTTCCGCCTGTGATGCATAGCCTTGTGCTGATAAGGGGGGTAGCCGTTTAGTCCCCAGCATGCAATTTACATGCCATCAATAGGATGGTCACAAACAAAGAGTAAGGCCTCCAGAAGGGAGATGGAAGTAGAGAATGTGAGAAAGGGAGAGAGACAGACAGACAGAAAAAAGAGACAAAGAAAGGAGGAGCTATAATATGTTTTCCTTTTGCTATTGCAACATTGACAGAGCCTTTTAAGCAAACAAGTGAATGATCTCCTACCTCCTCTCCATGGTGGGGGTGTTGAATGAATTCTGGTTTGGCTCCACCATCTTTCTTTCCTTAGCTGGCCCTTCCTCCACATTTTCATCATAGTCAAACCTTTCCACTGTCTGCATTTTCCCAAGGCCCATGTGTGACAAGTGGAGACTTGTGAGATTTGGGAAAAGGAGATAGATGAGGGGCATAGAGATGGATAACCATGAGCATAGTACATTTATTTACTATTTAGTTTCTGCCATGAAAAGAAGCTTGACAAACACGTCAGCGGTTTTGTTTCATTAAAGAAAAGAGAGAAAAGATATATGTATGTGCACAAGGATGACCTGCATAGATTGAAAAAAAAGTAGACCAAGTTTTTAAATGGGATTTGGCCCATTTGGGTGAATGGCAGTTGGAACTTTCCAAAAATCTGGAAGAAGGGGCCAAAGCCAAAGTTCCTGGCCACCAAACTGACTGAATTCTTTTGGATCCTCAGGAATATTAAGAACTGGCAGAGTGAAAAAAAAAAAAAAAAAAAAAAACCCTGGCAGAATGAACTTGTCTTAGCCTCTTAGGTTAAACCACCAGTCCCCCGCCCAGCTATTGATGCCGAGCCTAAGGGCATCGCCACACCAGTCTCGAAATGTGAAAAGGGCAAAAGTGTGGCAGATGCATCTGGCCATGTTCTAGCGGGAAGTTCATTCTCATTTTGCACATTTCAAGAGTGGTGTGGCGATGCCCTAAATTCGCCCTGCAGTGCCCGCCAAAGAAAAACGAGCCGTCACGGGCCTGCTTTTTTTGGCTGGTGCCACCAGCCATTTCAGTCCAGTACCCGAACCCCCAAAAAATGCGGACGTAAACGAGCTGCGTATTTGTTTTTCGAGCGGGGAAAGGTACTTGTGGTTCAATCTTTTTTTTTGTTTTGTTTTTTCCCCTTACAGCTGTGACCTTTTTCTTTACCTCCATTCCCATGGGTCAGAGCCTACCTGCCTTCATTGTCAGAAAAAGAATGGGGGCTCATTTTTTTACTGTCCCTGGGAAGCACAATGGGCAGTTTAAACCACCAGTACTTGGGCGACGCCTTAGCGTTAACGCTACGCGATTTCCGCGGCCGGCGGGCCGTCGATCAATCGAATCGACAGCCCGCGCTGCTTCGAGATTTGGGCGGCCGGCGCGGCGCGGCGCGCAGTGCCCAAGTACTGGTGGTTTAAAATTTAATGCAGCAGCTTGACAAAGGAGAGGGGGTATACATGTACATACTGTTGCACCTTCCTGGACAACATTTTTCTTTTCCAGCCTGAGGGGAAGGGGTTGCCCCTAATATTATTGTCTCCAAGATTCCAATTTCCAACAGCATTATTAAATTGTGCCCGGCAGAACTTGAACTCTTGATCTGGGTGTTCAAGGACAAGGAGCAACGGATGGATGGCCTTTAGACCTGACGACGCTGATGTGCCCATAGAAGATTTACGGTTGGATCCCCGGAACTGGGTGTGGATGGTGCACTACAGAAAAGGGAGGGGTGTCCAGAGAAAGTTATCGTCCCTAGCATTCGAAGGCACTTATGGAAAGCTCCGTCTGCACGTGGACCTGATTCTTCAGGAGCAAGCCATGCAAAGATGGATAAAGCATCTGAACGTTGGCAGGGAACTGATACGCCCCATCCAATGGCTCAACAGTGTTCGTACAAAGGCAGCAAAACATTGTCACTCCTATGTAAAGTTGACCATCGATGCCTGCCCTTTTTTTTTTTTTTTTTTTTTTTGGAAAAGACACCCCCCTGCCGGTGATGGTGTTGCTGATAAGACCATCGATGCCTGCCTACAAAGTTGAAACGTGCAAACTGTGCTCGGCTGCCTACCCATCACGGAAAGTCCCAGAGACTATAATGAGCACATAATGCGGGAATGCCCAGGTTCCACGTGGACCTGGCGGTGGTTGGACAGAATTTGGGGGCAGCTGGGCACAGAGACTCGATGGCCATGGGATTGGAGAGCGCTGCTGTGCGGGGCCTGGCAATCAGACTCAAACAGCACTTTTGTGAACAATAATGTTTGATCTTGGCAGAATAACGATCCTTTGGGCCCTCTGGTGGTGACACTGTGTTTTTGAGATCGAAGGCGCCTGCCTGGATGGCCCAGGCTTCACGGACCTGATCAAACTACAGGTGAAGACCGAACTTATCACGCAACGGGAAAAGGTTAAAAGAGCCAAAGGACAGAAATTCGCACAAAACTTCAGAGATTCTGTGAGGACGGGCTGGGCAGGGCTCAAGGTGGATGGATCGCAGAGGTGGCCTGCGAAGGAGGACAAGGGGAGGATCAGCAGGGGCTGCCCCTCAAGAGAGACTACACTCTCATCTTCCATGATTGGACGAAACTGGACGGCACGGTCCCTTTTCCTCCACTCTCAGAATTGCCTGTCCCTTTCCTCCCTATGGACTCTCTCTGGTGGACCTTCAGTGGTATGAAGGTGTTTGATTTGCCACCCCTCAAGGGGAGGCAGAGTGCTTGAGTGCCGGGTCGTAATAGCAGGCGCCCAGTGGCAGGGTGAAGAGGCACACAGATGCCCCCCTATTGAGACTAGTCTTATTCATTATTCTGTTCTGTGCCTTAAGATGTTATAAATGGGATGCTGGACCCAGTTTCCAGCAGGTGATGCTCCACAGCAATAGATCGGAGCCTGTGGCAGGGGTACTACCGGGAGGTGCTCATACCAACCCTGGGCATTAACCTGAGGGAAAAAAAAAAAAAAAAAAAGCACACTGTTGATCTGCTTAGCAATAGTTGTGTGTGTGTACCGTTCAGCCATGAGATGCGTATAAGTTTGTTTGACAACTTTATGCGCTACCGGGAGCGCTGCGCCCCGGCAGCATCAATCATCAATCAAGGTCGCCGCGCGCGCCGGATAACTGCACGCAGCAAGGAAAATAGCGCGCGCGCGCTCGACGATAGCGCGTGATTGGGCGCGCGCCCTGAGATGAAAATTGGACCACCGGTGGTCTACGCTGAGGAGCTGAGGTGGTCCAAATTTCAGACCAAACGGTTCAGCGGATCATGAGATGTCGAAGTTCTAGGGCGCGCCATGGAATTCCAGTGTGTCGGGCGATGAGGACGACGGGGGGATGGAATGGCATCTAAGGCTTCAACCTCAACACCTGCTGCTTCCTGAGTTTTGAAAGCAGGTCTACTGCCATCTCTCTACTTCGCGCTTGAAATGAGTGATGCTACAGGATAGCATGCCGGATGAAGGAGGGTATTGCTTATTTGGGCATTACTCTAGGAGTAATCACTAGTACTCTTCATCTTGCGACTTTTGGTGGAGGAGGTCGGCTCGGCGCGAGAAGAAAAATAGTACAGTGTGTCCCGTGGAGTGGAAGGAGGATTGTCAGGAGATAGTGAGTGGGAGGGCTTCGAGGAGAGAATCCAAGTGTCGTCAAGGGATCATTACAAGGGGGGAGGCTTCTACTCGAATGATGGCAGCCGGCTGATCGTCATTCTTTCTGCTACATCTACATTGCATCTACAGGACCATATCATCATCGTATCATCAGCTTCAGCAGCAGCAGTATTGTCATCATTATCATTATCACCATGATCATTATCATCAGTAACAAGATTAGTCATCACCGTCGCCATCATCAACAACTTCATCATCACCATCATCTTCATGTTCAGCATCGAGGTAAGTAGGGGATAGGAGGACGGTGTTGGATCGTTATTGTCATTGTCATAGTAATTGTCATCGATGTGTCAATCAACAAATCATCATCATCAACATCATGCTATCTAATCATTAATTTTATCACTAATAATACCATCCCACTATCATCCCAAAATCATCTCATTATCATCTCATCACTAACCTGACTAATTTACTCCAACTAACATCCTAATTAATGTCTTAAACATTCTTGATCTCAATTATCTTTTAAACTTTAAATTCCCTGTTAAACTAACATGAATGGTATTTCTATATACTTCAAATTTCCAGTGAAAACCTCTAATCAATACACCCGATTTTTTCGGCATCGTAATTTTTAATACCTAAATTCCTATAGTCCCTAAAATTCGCATCTATGAATCTGTATCACTATTCAACTAATTAGTGCGCAAATCTTGACTTCAAAAACTTGAAATCTTTCGTATTGCTCCAGCTTATTTTTCTCCTCCCTGTAGTATTCACGATGCTTTCTGAGGGAGGGAAGTAAGGGTTCAGGGGAGAGCTCCATCCCGCAGGGGTGACACGTAGGCGGAAAGTGAAGCCCTGTAGGGGGTGTGAGCAGAGTGAGGGGGGTACCTTAGTCTGGGGTTGGTGGGAGGGTCACTCACACCAGCGGGGGCAGAGTAGGGTAAATGGTGGGCAGAGGCATACTTTGGGAGGGAACTGGATGCCTTTCTGGGATGAGAAGGGGGAAGGGGGGTCTGTCACAAAGTTGGGGCTGTGATGGGTGGCCTGTAGTCTGGGTCATCTGTTTCGGCGGAGGCAACGATGAGACAGGGAGGAAAGAAGGGGAGGGGGGAGACTGACATCATCTTCTTTTATGTCTATCTAGTGATCTGAGATTCTCGGCGTCTTTTGGCATTCCTTCTTATTTTGGGATAAAAGCGTGTCGGAGGTGATTGATTCTGGACCAATATCGGCAGAGTTGGTCTTGTTCTGAGCTCCTGATCAGCCGATGCCAGAACGACGCTGGCTGGTGCTGGGGTAATGCCCTGTAACTTGCATTGGCGGGAGCGTGAAGCCTTGTAGAGAGATCTGGGGATTGCTGAGGGAGGAAAGCAATTCAGTGGCTAATTGGGGGGGCTGCCCAGATAACCCAATGGGGCTAGGGATAGTCTAGGTGGCAAGAACAGGTCAGCTATGGTGGGTAATGGTTAGGAGGGCATTGTCTCTGAGATGTTTTGTCTTGAGATAGGGAGGGCTAAGAGGCGTACTGACAATGCATGTTTCATCAGATTAACCACCCATCATCATCATCATCATCATCATCATCATCATCATCATCATCATCGGTAGTATCATTTGTTTTTGGGTTTCTAGACTATGATAAGTATCTGGTCTTTGTCCGTATCTGGGGTATTGGCGCTCAGAGATGGTGGAAACTGGACTGATGTCAACAGCGCTGCTCTGTTCTGTGCCCCTGGTTTGCCGATGCCAGAATGACGCTGACCGGAGCTGGGGTGCTGCCCTGTAATCTGCAAATCGCAGAAGCGTGAGGCCTTGTAGAGAGATCTGGGTGTTGCCGAGGGAGGAAGGCAATTCAGAGGCGAATTGGGGGGGGCTGCGAGGTGGCGAGAAGAGAGCAGCAATGGGTGATGTTAGTTAGGTAGATATTGTTTCTGGTAACTTTGTTCTGGTATAAGGAGGGCTAGGTGTTTATCTACGCTTGGGAGGCTAGAATAGGTGATACTACATAGTTGTAATCTTGTTCTGCAGAAGAGGCAGTATCATTTTCATCATTCAGAATTGGTGTTTTTGGTTCGGTGTCTCCGGGCAGATTGTGAGGACCCCGGCCTCAATATTATCATTTGGAATATCAGCCTTGGGCACTGGGCCCGTT